GGGTTTTTTTTTTTTTTTTTTTTTTTTTTAATAAAAGCCTTGTGCCTTATTTCAAATTGATCTCTTCCAGTGCCACTACCATATACTATTTACAGTTCCTTCAGTGAATTTCCCTTTGCTATCAAACAGCAAAACCTGTGGTCAGTCCTGTATTGCAGCAAACACAATACAGCAACCCTTTGAGCAATGTCAGTAATGCTCAATTTCTAAATAAAGGAAACTGAACAGGCAATCTGTTCTGGAGCTGATGCTAAAAAAATACTACGTGGATAACAACTGGTACAACTCCCATCACAAGGTACAAAATTTTCAGTTCAGTACATACTCTTTAAGAGGTTAAACAACTAAACCTGACACAGCTGCTAAAAGTTCATCTTTGACATGGTAGCAGGCAGTTTTTGTCTGGGTTACTAGGCTGATGAATTATCAATGTATTCAGTCTGAAATCCAGCAACAATTAGATACCTGAAAGCAAACAGTAGAATCCAAATATTATTTCATTTTAACACAGTTCTCATCATTTGGCTGCAGTGCCTTGCATATGCCTATTCAACATAAGATTTTGCATTGCAAAAAATGTATTTTTTTCCTATTCCAAAAAATCAGAAAAAAACATAACTAAAATCATTTCCTCTTTTCTTAGATGCTATTTTAATGCACCTGGCTTCTGCAAATAAATTTGAATGTATGTATTCTACTATGCATTATATTATCTGCAGCTTGGATACAACTTATCTTCTATATTCCTCATGAATCTTAGCAAAAATAACATTGCATTTTAAAATAATATCGCATTTTTTAAAGAAGAGAATAATATAAAATGCTCATTTTTAGATTTGACCCAAGTCAGCTCTTTTGGCCAAGTTGTTTTGTAATTGCTCTGTATTTGCCTGCTTCACTAATATTACAAGGTGAGGCACATTGTAAGACAGGATATTTGAAACCTTCAAAAAAAGTCTTAAGTTTTGCTGCTGTTTCTGATTGTATGTATAATTATTTTATAGAGAGCAGGGCAAAGCTTAGGAAGTGAGTTGTTTTGTGTTTGATAGAAACAGCTGAATTACTCTAATCTATTTTTGTAACCCATGAAAATGAAAACGATTTACAAAATGAATTTTTATTAAATGAAAGAAAATCTGTTTTGTGGGTCAAATATGAAATAGAATATACAAAAACTTTACATCAGATATCTTTTCAAAGAAATTAAACGCTAGCTAGAATGAAGTAGCACTCATTCCTTCCAAAAACAACACAGATGGGTGAATAAGCTTCTTATGGCAGTACAGGATCACACAGTATGCTGTGCTAAAATTCCAGGTTACAGAGGCAAAGTTAATCTAAACGGTCTCCCTAAAGAACCCAACTAGTTCACAAAGTAACTTAAAAACATGACATTAGATCATTATGTATTCTCTTAGAAGAAAGTAACAGGTAGGTCAAGGTCAAGTGCAGAGTTCACAATGCTTGCATATCACATTCTCTCTTCCTATACAAATATAAATTGTTCTTTATTTTAAAAATCCATTGTATTTGATAGTATTTAATTGTGGAAAAAAAAGGATGACCACATAATTAGGTCCCCACTGTATTATCTAATCAATTCCATCTCCTTTTACCTCCTTTCTTTTGAAGCCTGTTACTCCTAAACCACACATTTCAGTATTTAAAAAAAAGTTGTTGTATGTTTAAATCATAAACCTTTGTATTATCATCCAGTATATGAAGGTTTTGCAGAGCTCATGTCTTTGGCATAGCACACCAAGTCCCCTTTAATACTTTTCCTTTTTAAAAAAGTATATTTTCCTTTAGTAAAACACCTTAAAAACATCTATATTCTGATTCTGTAAAATAACATGTCAACTCTTGGGTTGCTTAGCAAAATATACACACACGTATTTTGGAAAAACATTGAGTACTGACATAAGGGGCTCATCTGAAGTCTGATCTGTTAGGAAGAGTAAAACATAATGACAAATCCCCACTGTTAGATGACTGTCACATGAAGTCATTCAATTCAGCTTCAAGTGCTGCTGCCATTTCATCTGCCTCTGAACTGCTTCCTTCCTCATCTTCATTGCTGGACTCTTTACTAGATTCACTAGCAGCATCATCTTCATCCAGCTTGCGCTTGTGACCCCTGTAAGTGAGGACAGAGACAGCATACATAAACAATATGATCTGCTTGTCCAGTAGCACAGGTAGTTATTTTCCAAAAAGGGAAAGAATGCAGCTTAAGGTTTTTGAAGCTTTATCAGATCTGGAAAAAGATGCCAAACACTTGCTTCCCAACAGAGCTAGCATAAACATATCTAATCTTGTAATCACCATTATACAGTGCAAGCTGTGGCTTTGGAAATCTGTGCTACTGAATGTATTATTCCCACTTTTCTGAAAAGAAAACAAAAACAAGTGTGAAGGGCTGCCTGCAAATTTTCTGGTAGCTTCTTTTTCTCTTTAGCTTGAAATAAATCCATCATCTGAAAGCTCCTAATAACATAGTATAAAAGCAACTTTTCAGAGCAAGTTCTGTCTTAATATTAGTTTTTGCAACATCTAAATATCTCCTTTTTATAGCAATTACATTTGAACTGATGAGGAAAATTAAAATCAGCAATATATTAATAAGGAAGCAAAAATAAGTAGAATGGAATTATGTTAGTTTGTTCCTCACTAGGAAACAGAGCAGCAGGTATAAATAAAATGGCAACAAACAAGAATGACATTTGAACTGGCAAAAGATTGGGGAGATAATAAACCAATGAGCAACAGTGATAACCCTAGAAGTTTTGCCATACTTGACAGTACTTCTGTACCCTTCCAATATAAACTGTATTTAGATATAGAGCCAGATGGGATGGACCGATTTACCTCTCCTTTCAAATTTTTAAAGCAGGATTACATACCTGCTTTTGTGGTTTCACATCTGATCTACAAGTGAAAACAAGCATGTTTTTCCTGTTTCTACTCAGGTACCATGTAAAGAAAGGCTACAGAAATCTTGCAGAGAAAGATTTCTGCCATTTAATAACCAACTCTTTTTTAACTGTCTTTATGTTTCACTGATTAAGCTAAGCTTTCTTAGGACAATTTTGCTGTCTGCTAGTTGCTCCTGGTCTCTCTCTTCTTGTTTCAAAGCCCTGGAGACTTTTTAGCAATTTTCCAAATCATGTATGTTCATCCACAGAAACCAGTCTACAGCAGCAGAAAGGGCTTCTGCTTTAGTTAAGCAGAAAAGGGGAGGGCAAGTCAGTTGAAAATTAGGCTGTCCCTGCTCCATGTAGCCATAACTCTGGCAAAAACCTTTTTCTTCCCCTTCATTCTGCCTGTCAAAACAAGGTGTGTATTTTATTATAGGGTATGTTATATGCAAGAAACTACAGGATGACTGCTTAAAGACAGCAAATACTTTAAAAGAGAAAAAACAGCCACAGTCTAGAAAAATAACTAATGACTGATAGACTATTTATAAATCCTCAGTTACTAAATAAAAAGAAAACATCCTTAAACAGACATGGTGAAGGTCTATTAATATGACATTTCAAGCATTCCTTCGGGAATAGTAGTAAAGATGCAAAAAGAAAAACCACTACAATTTTTAATTTTCCTTGTTTGTGGGAGGAACTGTGCTTTTCAGAGGGTGAAGGTACACAGCTGGGATGGCAAGACATATACTAGCTCTAAAATGCTATGGTTGATATTGGGTATATATCTCAGATGAAAAATTCTGACAGTCTTTACTAAATAACTTTGATCCAAAATCTTGCAAATTTCCTTCTTTAACAGAGTCACTGGAAGGTAGGCATGTCCAAACTCTCCAAACTACTATCCCTCTGTCCAAAGGGTGAACACGTACACTGCCGCAGTGGGATTTTCCTTTCCCTACCTTTGTGTACAAGTACCCCTCTCTTGTGGGAAAGAGATCTAATCTGAGACCCCTGCATGAAAATAAATGTTGCCAATTTTTTGTTTAGAGGTTGATAATCAGATCTACCCGTTTGCTGTTGGACTTTCTAGCAAGGCATTATGCTGACAGAGAGGACTCACTGCCAGCTGACTAACTTATAAACTGCATGCTTCCCAGCAGGCTGACTTGTTTCTTCCTATTATGTGCTGAGGTCACTGTCTGTTTGGATTAGTACTGCTGGTCTGCACACCAAATTTCTGAGCCTCTCTAGAGAATTTTCAGGAAGGTGAAGTGCATCATCCATTCCTAAAAGAATCATACTCATGGGTATGAAAGCTCTCCAGGGTTTTACTGGCATGTGTATGCAATATTTGAAATGGTGAACAGTCCCAGGTAGTGCTGGATTGATGCTGTAGCAGGGACAGTCCAGGAAACACGCAAGAGGCAAGGATTTGTGGGGGGTGATATCTTTTATTAGGCCAACTATATAGTTTGGAGAGATCATAGGTATATCCTTCCTATAAGCCTGCTTAAAGAAAAATCTGCTTTGCCATTTCTTGTGGAAGGGTACCTTGTACCCAAAAGCTTGTCTAAGCTTATCTTTCTTAGCTACGCAGCCGGTCCAAAAAAAGGTATCACCCAAAAATATCCTTGTTTCTCAGATAGTACTAGGATGTTTAATATTTTACTTTCCAGAAAAAAGGTAAAAGGGCATTGGAAAATAATTTTAACTGTACATTTCAAAAACATACTAATACCAGCAAAGGTTCAACTGAGCTTATCAGGTTTGTGTGGTTAAAAACACACCAATTTCTGCAGCCAGCGGCACACAATGGAACAATGTAGCTTGCATCATACTTGGCTGCCTTTGAGTTCTAAACCCAAAAGACCAGCTGGGTTCTAGGTGGGTGGACTGGGGTGGCCTTTGGTGAAAGTCCAGAAAGGCCTCACTACCATCTCTGAATCCACAGCAAGACAATTCATTGATCTGCCACCATACCCTGATAACAGAGACTATGGTCCAATCTTTTTGTGCATGTAGGCCTAACAGAGATCCAGATCAATTAAACCACTCATGTGTATTTCAAATTAACTACTCATTCGTATTTATGAGGGGGGTTTTATACTACAGCTACTCTTACTGCAGCTTTCCCTTGGGCAGAAGCCTTAAGTCCTGTAAAGACCAGATATTTTGATTTGATGGGGCTTTTATCTAAGGGTAGTTTGGTGACCTTTGAAGCATGCTGTTTTGTTTTTTTTCCTGATGAAACTAAAAGCCCTCCACTAGCAGTACTGCTGTGGCCACAACACCTGTTACCTGACTAAGAAGTGAAAAATCTGCTTTCCATTGCTGGTAGTGAAACAGGGAGTCATGCTGAAGAGCTCAGGTACTTGCTGGGGTCTTTGGGGTCTAAACTGCAAATACAATGAAATGGAACAAGGCAACAAAGCTCTGCAAGGTACTGGCCTGAACGTTTTGCTCTTGTAAGTAACCTCAGGTGTGGGTGGGAGGGAAAGGGAGATTCAATATACTAAACACAGCCTAACATTAAATTGAAAGGGATTTCTCAAACATATAGTATATAGAGATCATTAATACATTAGCCCCAACCCAAATGAGGAAGCGCTTTGGCTAAAAATGCCCATTAGAAATCTTTGAACATTTCCATTAAAAACTGCAAACCTGGGCAATTAGTTTTACTTGCCCACTTCATGCCAATTTCAGCCTTCGAAGGCAGAGCTGTCCATTCCCTATTAGAAATACCCATTAGTTGGCAAAATTACCTCTGGTTGGCAAAATAGTTTCATAGTTTCATAGATTTAGGGTCGGAAGGGACCTAGTAGATCTTCTAGCCCGACCCCCCGCCAGGGCGGGAGAACAACAAAACCCCAAAACAAAAACGGGACTCAAATGAGTCCAGCCAGGTAGGCATCCAGCCTCTTCTTAAAGACCCCCAGGGTAGGGGCCAGCACCACTTCCCTTGGAAGTTGGTTCCAGCTCCTAGCCGCCCTAACTGTGAAGTAGTTTTTGCGGATATCCAATCTATACCTCCTCTCCATCAACTTGTGCCCATTACTCCTTGTTATGCCAGCGGGCGCTAGGGGAAACAGCGTCTCCCCCAAACCCTTCTGGTCCCCCCTAGTGAGTTTATAGACGGTCACCAGGTCCCAACAGACGGTCACCAGGTCCCTGTGACCGTCTATTAGCACTCATACAGAAAGGTAACAGTATTGTATACGTCACCAGGTCCCTGTGACCTATACAATCAGCACTCATAGAGAAAGGTAACAGTCACACCAATAATCTTTTTATTCTGAAACTGAAATATACCAGAAAAACGCCATAAAATATACAACTATAAAAAGTTGAGGAAAAAAAATGGGAACTAAAGAAATCTAAATAAAGAAAGCTATTACAAGGAAAAGATATGGAGGGCTAAGGCAGCACAGTAGTTAGCATTTAAATAAAAAGCCTGTGTACTTTCTTAGCAGTGCTTAAAATAATAGCGAGTACAGCAGTATTTACAATTATAAGTATAGGGAATGTCAGCTGAAAGTGGTAATAGCTTACCTTTTGGAAAAATAAAATAAGAAACATTTAAAAAGCAATCACTGTACACGTATCCTACCCTTGAGATTTGCAAATGCTGCAGTAAAGGAGCTAGCAAGACAAAAAAAGCTTTTAGAACCAGCACATGATGCCAGGGTTTGGAACACACCTGAACCAACAGTAGGGAACCTGGAGAAGAAGCATTTGTGGAGAATAGGCACCTCAATGCCAGTTACATTTTTCTGAAGGTAGGCAAGTATTCAACTGTCAAATGATCAACTGATCCAAAAAAAGTGGGGAAATGACCACACATGAGAATATTTTGGACTTCTAAATTTAAAGACAGCAATCATCTACTAAGTTTCAATGAGGATCTTAATCCCAATTCTAAAATAATGCACAGATGTATACCTAGGGATCTACTTAAATCATGTTTTTGTGATTTTCATGGAAACCACAAAAAATGGCATTGGTCACGATTTCCCAGGGAAATCAACCAAAAAACCAAACCTTAATAAAAATAAATGCTGGCTCCTCAGTGGGAGCCAGCAGTCCTTGATGCCACTGTGACCCAGCCTTGCAACCTGTCTGGAAGGGAGAGGCACGAAGGGCAGCCAGCAATCAAGATGGTGGTTTTCCCCTTGTCCTTCCTCCCTCGGGGGCCTCTCTAACAATTAGCCCG